AGAGCTCAGAGCCCCTGGCAGGGCCTGGAGGGGCTCCAGGAGAGCTGCAGAGGGACTGGGGACAAGGATGGAGGGCCAGGAGCCAGGGAATGGCTCCCAGTGCCAGAGGGCAGGGCTGGGTGGGAGATTGGGAATTGTTCCCTGGCAGGGTGGGCAGTCCCTGGCACAGGGTGCCCACCCTGGATCCCTGGCAGTGCCCAAGGTCAGGCTGGACATTTTGGAGTAGCCTGAGACACTGGAAGGTGTCCCTGCCCCTGCCATGGGATGAACTTTAAGGTTCCTTCCAACCCAGGCCATCCTATGATCCAGCTGAGCACTGGCCTCTGGGACACCACAGACACCAGGGCTTCCCTGGCACTGCTCAGGTTGGGCAGCAGCAGCTTTTTATGTATTTTATTTTCTGCAGCACCACCAGTGTGCTCTGGCTGTGCTCTGCCTGGGGAAGCCATGCTCAGCACCCTCCAACTCCATGGCAGTGCCAGCTGGAGCTGTGGCTTCCATTCCAACTCCTCACTGGGGCTGGTGACTCCTCCTGGGAGGCTTTGGAGGGTTTAGTCCTCAAACTCCTTCATTTAGTCACCTTCCAAGAAAGCTGCCCTAGTGAAAGAATTTGGGAGCAAGATGATTCAGCAGCCGAGGGAATTTCTCCACCCAGCTGGCAATTCTGAGTCCTTAAGCCATGGGGGCTGCCTGCTGCAGCTCCTGTCAGGGATTACCATCTGCAGGCTGCAGAAACACAGACATCAATCATCTATTGTCCTTCCATTAGGGGCTGCAATCTGTCCTCTGACATGATAAATGAGCAACGTGGGCTCTTATCTGGATAATTAGCTCAAGGAGCAGAGCCAGCAGGCCTGCCCTCCGTGCTGACCTCTCCTGTTCACTCAGCTTCTGCAGCAGCCTTGCATTTCAAGGTCCCTGTGCTTGTAAGGTGGGCACAGGGATTCCTGCTCCCCTGCAGAGCAGGACAAGACCTCTCCACGCATTTTGGTGAGGGGAGAGGCTCCCTGACAGGCAGCAGAACATCAAGGAGCTGAGGGACACCGTGTCTGACCTAGTGGTTCCACCAGCTGGTCAACCAGCCCCATCTTCTTGGCTCTGTCTGCACGGATGTTCCTGCCAGTCAGCATCATGTCGAAGGCAGCAGGAAGTCCCACCTAGAAGGGCAGAAAGAGGATTCCAGAGTGGGAGCTTGCCAGGCAGAAGGGGCTGTGGGGTCAAGTTTTCCTCTCACTCACCATCTTTGGCAGCCTTTGAGTACCCCCTGCTCCGGGCAGGAGACCCAGCAACACTTCAGGTGTTCCCAAGACCGTTTTCCTGTCCTTTGTTGCTACTCTGTAGTGACAGGCAATGGCAACCTTAAAAATGGAAGAGACAAGGAAAGGTTTCCCTGTGAAGGACAACAGAAGAACCAGGCACCCATCACACAGCTCTCTCCCACACACTGCCTCAGCTTTCCTCATCACCCTACCCCAAATTCCTTCATCCAACTGCCCAAATTCCCTCTGTGCTCACTGATGGCTTCTCCTGGGAGATGACAGCAAGAGGTGTGAGGTGAACATTAAACTCCCAAACTGATTTTGGACCATCAAGGGCTTAATTCATTCACTACACTAAGAGCACAGTCCCATCTACGGATCAGCCATGATGAGCCAACACACTCATAAAACTTGAGTGTAAAAAACTTGAGAAATCTGTACAAACTGAAGAGACTCCTTTCCAAGATGACACTCTTTTAGTAAAAACTCTGCTCCAGGAATTAGCAGAGCCTTGCAGTTTACAAAACCCTGGCTGGGAGATTACAAGGCAGAAGATCCAGGCAAGGTGCTGGAGTGGAGCTGCAGGCAGGGTGGAGCCCGGCTGGGTCCCCACACTCACTCACCCCTCTCACAGCAGCCCCACAAAGAGTGGAAGTTGCTGGGATACAAAGATTTGCCTGAAAAGCAGCAATTTCCAGCCAGCAGCATTGATGCAGATCCAATGCCTGCTGGAAACAGTCTGTTTTCCCTTGGACACTCATCTAAATATTAGCCTGGCCCACACAGGTTCAGATTTGATTTGCTCTCCTTCCACAACAGCAGCAGAACTCACATGGCAGAGCCCTGAAGCACAAGCAAGTCATTAACTCGCCACAAACTCATTTACATGATGTAATGAGCCCTCATCAGCTCCCAAACTCATCTCACGGTACCAGTCCTGCTGGCATCATTTGGGGAACCAGAGAAGCAGCAGTGCCAGCTCCCACTCCTGCTGTGAGCCCCAGGATTGTCCAGTACCTCCAGCCCTCCTCCCAGGCAGCTGCCACTGATGGCAGCCACGACAGGCTTTGGAGAGTGCTCAATCTTTTCCAGCATCTTCTGTCCATCCTGAGAGAGCTGAGTCACTTCCTGAGCAGTCTTGCAGGCTTCAAGCATGCTGAGGGGAGGAGAGAGGTGCATGAGGATGGGAAAAGCACTGACAAAACAGCAGGAAAATGAGAGGTTTTGATGACTTTGTCCCCGTTTTTCTACAACCTCCAGTGCCTGACACACAGGCAAGAGCTGTTTAGGCCTCAGTTTTGGATCAGGCAGCACAGGGAGACTCACTAAACCACTAAACCCAGCAGGGTCAGGCCCTGCATACTGACAGGGGTTTTCCTGAGACACTGATAGAATGATCCCTTATGCCAGGGCTCTGGAAGCCTTTGGAAAAGCACTGACAAAACAGCAGGAAAATGAGAGGTTTTGATGACTTTATCCCTGTTTTTTTACAATCTCCAGTGCCCGACACACAGGCAAGAGCTGTTTAGGCCTCAGTTTTGGATCAGGCAGCACAGGGAGACTCACTAAGCCCAGCAGGGTCTGGCCCTGCACGCTGACATGGAGTTTTCCTGAGGCACTGATGGAATCCCTTGTGCCAGGGCTCTGGAAACCTTTGGGAGAGGAGGAAGGGTCATAGGAAGCCTCAAAGCACTTGCCAGGAAGGGTGGAGGGAAGAGCCCAGAATCACCCTTAGAGGAGCAGACAGCCAGTGCTCTGATGCCACACTGCCAATTAGAGACTCCCAGTGCCAATTATTCTCCTGGAGGCTCACAGCCTTTGCCAGGCAGGAGAAATTTGGGATGCTGGAGGTGCTGAGGCTAGGAGACACCTCTTAACCACAGCCTGGCCTTTGCTCTGCTCACCTCCTTCCCTCCTAAACAGGGAGCGAGTCTCTGGTCCCTGTTACATTACAGAAATGTAACATGGTTTTGGAGGCTCTATTTTTAATTTACCTTTTTTCCTCAGAGCATTCTGGCTTTTAATGCCTTTAAGCAATTATTCCTAGTGTCAGCTGTAGGAGCCAATGGCATTGCAGGTCCCAGTGGGCACCCCCAGGATCACCCCACACCCAGGAAAAGTTACCCAGGGAGCCTGGGAGGCTGCTCAGCACAGGGCAGAGTGCCAAACCCTGCCCAAACGAGGGGCCAGACTGGAAGGCTGCCAGGCACTCCAACCCAGCTTAAACGAGTCCTGCATGTGAATGATCCACTCTTGCTGTACCCCAGGCCCAAGGACAATGCCCACCCCAGAGCCAGGATGGGTTTCCTTGGCTGCAGGAAGGAGTGTCACAGCCAGGAGGGGTTTAAGGACTGGCCACGTCCCTCTTTGCCGAGATCCTCACTTCAATTCCAGCGACTCTGAAATGCTGAGCACGGGGATTTCACTCCCAGCCTGTGCCTCACCCCGGGGAGGTGTCAGGACAAACTGCTGGCTTTCAGGGACAGCTCCACCAGCTCCTGAAGCCCTGTGCTTACTTGAGATCCGCTCCAGCAATGAAAGAGCCTGGCTTGGAGGAGATGAGCACGGCGCTCTTCACGGCCTCGTTGGCCCAGATCTCGTTCATGACGTCGGTGAACTCTGCACTCAGCTGCTTGGACAGGGTGTTCACCTGGGAGCAGAGCAGCAGCCTCAGCAGGAGCTCACCTGGAGCCCACAACTGCTGCAGTTACCTCGGCCCTGCCCTAGCACAAAACCCACTACAGGACAAAACCCTGCAGCAGGTCGTCTTTAATGAGAATTTCCTCTTTAACCTTCACAACAGTGGGTTTGTGGCCCCAAACGTTGATTTTATGAACTTGTAAACTGCCTTTTTTTTTTTTTTTTTTTTTTTTTTTTTTTTTTTTCATATAATCATGGAATGATTTGGGATGGAAGGGACCTTTCAAGGTCATCTCATCCAACCCCCTGCAATGAGCAGGGACACCTTCCCCAGACCAGGCTGACAATATCCCTCCAGATTTACTGAAAGGCTGCAACAAGCAGGACAAATCCAGCCTGGGTTCTTTAGGTACAACCAAATCCTCACATAAAATAGGGTATTTCAAACCTGAGACTGCTGCTGCTCCACAAAGGAAAGAATTATATAAAAACCCTCTTCGGTCTGCTACAATTAATACAAGATTTTTCATAGCACTAGTAGTTCAATCTTTCTATCTTGTATAATATCAGAGCAGCTCAGCTGCTTTGCTTTAAAAACCAGGTTTTTACTGCAAGCTCTATCGTTGCTCATAAAGAATATTTCCATCTGTGAGATGACACCTGAAATTCCCTACTGGTTATGAGACTCCAAAATGCATTTTCAGATGTATTCCTTAGATGTCATTTACAGAGTTCCTGCCTCCTGATACCTGAACAACTGCAGCTGTGTTGACCTAAAAAATGAGAATTAGGTTCTATTTATATCATATTCATGATAATAGAATCAAAAGCATTTATGGATTCCAAATTACTGAAGTATGGACACATTCTTTAACTGACTTGAATACAAGAACTAAGCAAGATTTAATTTTTTTTTAAGTGTTCCTTAAGATTTGGAACTCAGCAAGACCTTCTCCCTGGGAGAGAGACAAATCAGCTTAGCACACAAAGTACTCCAAGAGGCATCTGCAGATGTCTCATCAAAATCCCTAAATCTTCTTTTCCTACTTCTCCTTTGCTCCCAGCTCTGTAAGGCTGCAGGTTAGGGAAGTTCTTAGCCTTAAGTGGGAATTTTCAGTACCTTGGAATTTGGTGTGTTGAAGCGCACGACAGCGACATCCCCTTTGATATCACAGCTGACGTGGGTTCTGTCTGCAAACAAACACAAAAATCAACAGGGGTGGGCTCAGCTCCTGCTCCAGGGATTTTAAAATGGATTTATAGAAAAGCTTCACACTTACTCTGGAGGGCACTGGAGGTGGAGATGTTACGGCAGGCATAACCTAAGGAGAAGATGCCAGAGGTGTTAAAGGAATTCTCAGCAGCCTCAGTCTCTCCCAGCTCCCCTGGACAGCTTTTGGGAACCCTGGGCAGGAGCCAGTCCCTCTCCTCAGGGCCTGCCCAGTGCCCCACCAGCATCCAGCAGTGCCCTTCTAGCACAGACCCCATCTAGTGCCACACCTGCCATGGGCAGGGACAACTTCCACCATCCCAGGTGGCTCCAAGTCCCATCCAGCCTGGCCTTGGGCACTGCCAGGGATCCAGGGTGGGCACTGTGCCAGGGCCTGCCCACCCTGCCAGGGAACAATTCCCAATTCCCAATCTCCCAGCCAGCCCTGCCCTCTGGCACTGGGAGCCATTCCCTGGGTCCTGCCAGGGAACAATTCCCAATTCCCAATCTCCCACCCAGCCCTGCCCACTGGCACTGGGAGCCAAATTCCCTGGCTCCTGTCCCTCCATCCTTGTCCCCAGTCCCTCTG